ACAATAATTGCATTATGAACTTGGGTCCTCGACAGATTAGCTTCGGCGGGTCTGTCTCGCTGCTCCGACTGCCACCCTCCCCGCCACGACAAAAACTTGAGGCTTTGAAAAGAAATGACTCTGTAGCTGCTTAGATTGTTTCTTGTTGTGAATACTTCAGGCCTATAGTTGAACGAAGTTGTTCTAGAAATTTACTCACCATTTAGAGCTAACACTATTGCTAGCTACTCATTAAGCTCATTGATTGCTCATTAAGCGTTCATTTTCAGTCCCACATACGCCCGAAAATTACGACAGTAACTAATAAAAGTGTCCAAAACAGACATTCATGACTGCATGAATGTTAAGATATCAGCTAAAAACTGTACAGTTTAGGAGAATGTCGTCGAACACCCCATTAAGCTAAGTCATGCAAGCATTAGCAAAGCATGCTAACTACAGAGCAAACTGTCGGCTGCAAACACTTCACTTTGCCTAATTATTAAGTAAACACTAAAACAGTTTGTTTAATGTACTTACCACATTCATCCCTTCATCCTCTATTCTCTGACTGTCGGACATCTCCACTTTCTCTCTGTCATGCTTCTTCATACTTCCAGCCGTCTCCTCTCGCCTCCGAGCTACGCCCCGCGTGTCTGGCTGCACCGAGCACGCGACTAATTAGCAACACCTGCAAGCCTGTGACTGCAGCGGGTGGGGGATGGGAATAGGCAAAGTGAGGACCGCAAAAGTCAGGAAAAGTGTGTTTTCCCTCATCCCCTCCCTTCAGCAGCAAAGTGTCAGCATTAGATTGCTGAACTTGTGTTTTAACAAAATATTAATGTATCCAAGAAAAACTAGTTTAATATGGTTTTAACATCCAAAATTATTAATTAACCTTTTATTTACCAAGCATAATTTAGGCCGCCTGGACTTTTATGATAATTTTGGCTGTAAAAGGGTCAAAAAACATACTGTAACTGAATGCTTTTGCCCCATTTTTTAGAATAATCTCAGCTTTCAATACCTGGCAGCCATTTTATATTATTTTATTGATATGAAAGTGGAACAACAGTTTAAAGTTTAAAAAAAAACGAACTTGAGATTTATAGTGAAAACTGATATTCAGCAATAACAAAACACAACATCAACTTGCAATATGAACTATAATAAATATGTACAAAAATGTTTTTTTATCCTTGCTCACTCAGTTTTTAATTTATTGGCCTTTTTATATTACAAGCGTCCAGGCGTTTTTGGGCCTGTGTGATAGACCCTGAAGCAGTTCCTACCCACTTGGAGACAGAGACCCACATTGCACTGCTCACCCAGCCAGGGAATTTTTCTTTTGCACAGAGTGCACTTTCGCCTTCCTTGGGTGGCCATGCTTGCTTTTGACTGTCTTTTCCTGCTGCTTGTGGGGACAGCAAAATGGTTGGAGCTCGGTGCTGGTGGGCATCCCGATTTCAGAGAAACAACAAGGAGATGAGCACATTTCACCTGCTGATGGATTTCCAGAATTTAGAGGTGGCTGTACACCAGGGGTTCTTTTTGGGATAAACCTTGGTGGCTGGGGGACCACATCAGAGTCTTCAGTAGTTTTCCAGTGACAGCATGGTGACCGGCTGCGAACAGGATTCCCAGAAGTTCGATACCTCTGTCAGCGAATCTGACCCTTGGTGACACTCCTCTCCAATACAGAAACCAGAAACCAGCAGAAACTTCGGAGTCCAACAAAGAAAAATCCCGGCAACAGGAGTCCAAAACTAAACAGATGAGCTGGGAAAACCAAAAACACAGAGTCCAAAAACACAGCTCAGTGGGCCGACCCGGAGGCCAGTGGCTCAATAATACAAGACGGTAACTCCGGGGGCCAACCCAGAGGTCGGTGGCACCAGGGTCCAAGGTACACAAGTTCAGGGGGCCGACCAGGAGGCCAGCAACAGAAACCAAGTAGTTCTGGAGGCCGGCCGTGCAGAAGGCAGTGGTGGCAATGTAGGCGATTCGAAGGCCAACCACGTGGAAGGCAGCGGCAGCGTCGGAGCATTTCAGGTCGGCGACGGAGTCCAGTCAGCGACCTGGAAGGTGGCCGCTGACACCAAACCACATACAGACAAGGTCGAGCAGGCTGAGCCGGACGTGGATGAGGTAGCGGTGTGGCAGGACCAGGACCAGACGAGGCAGGACCAAATGACAGCGTGGCAGCCGCAAATGATGGAGTAGGTGGCGCTGCAGGCTGGATGGATCCCTCGGACCCTCCAGCAGGAACAGATATAGAATCAGCAGGCACAGGGACCTCTGGCAGTGTTGACACTGGCTGGAGCTGAGCAGCACATTGGCTTGGCTAAGGCAGCGACATTGGGATGCAGTCCTCAGAGCGCTGAAAGTGTTCACTAATACACCCAGCAGAGGATGGAGGCGGATGGGTGAACTCGCTGGAGCTCTCAGCGGGTGATGACGGCTGAGACTGCTCAGTGGAGTTCCCTGGTGAGGTAGCTGGCACTGGCGCCTTAGCCTCCAGGGATCTAGAGTCGGCTGGTGGCTGACACTCAGCCTCTGGGGAGGCCCTGGAGGGAGTTACTGTCTCTAACATGGCCAGCTTTTGAGAACCAGCAAATGTTTTCATGACGTGTGTTCCCTGCGTAGGATGAGTCATTGAACCAATGAGTGGACTAACAGCTGAGCTAAAGGTGAGTGAGCTAGGGGCTGAGCGACAGACTGAACAGGCAGTTAAACTAAAGGCTGATCTGCAGACTGGACTGATGATAAAATAAATGGCTGAGGTGCAAACTGTGCTAATGGCAGAGGTACAGGCCGTGCTAAGTGGAGCTAGCGGCAACACAGGAGACTGAGCTAGCGACAACACAGGAGGCTGAATAACAGACTGAGCTAAAGACGAGTGAGCAGGAGACTGAACTGAGAGTGACTGAGCAGGAGACTGTGATAATGACTGAAGTAATGGTTGAGGTGAAAATGGAGGTACAGGCCGGGCGGCTAACTGGGCTACAGGCCGAAGTGGTAGTTGTGGTAGAAGCGGATCAGGTGGTTGAGTGACTGACTGAGCTAGTGACTGAACAGACCAAGCAGTGAGGGTTTCTAGAATAGTGGCTGAGTCCTTCTTGCCTGGGCTGCCCATGCAAAACAGTTCAAAATAGAGCCTCGAACATGTGGGAACACAGCCGGGAGAAATTAGACTTAACGAGATGGAGGAAGCAAAACTAAAAACACTGACATAGGTCATGGACCTTCAAAATAAAGCAGGGAATCCATGGACAGAACTCAGAGGTACAACACCGACAGAGAACAGAGGGAACACAGAATACAGGGACCTGAGAGACATGAGACATGACTGGGCAACAAGAGAATAAACACAAGGGCGGAACTAAACCTAAAAGCTAGAATTCACAATCCCAGAAGAAAAAGAGAACAGAAACCAAAAACCCAATAGTCACGAACCATGTACCAAAAGGAAAACAGACTAATAAAGCATAATACAAAATCAAAACATTAGGTCACAGGCCCAGGACAGTAACAGACAAAGGTTCTGGTGAATTAGGGACTGCCTGCCGTTGTAATCTACCATTGCTCAGGCTGGATCCCCTTGTATTCTGACCATAATGCTGCATGTCGCTCCAGGACCGGAAAATGTGTCAGAGTACCAGTGACCCAGACCACCTGGCCAACCTCCATAAGTGGGGCAGTCATTGCTGAAATGGCTGGGTCACCCACACGTCTGTTTTGTATTACAGAGATCAAATTTGAAACTATGCAAAGCCAGCATATTGCTAGGTGCTACGGCAATCTGTGTTCAAAATATTTTTTTTTTTTTTTACAAAACTGGATCATCTAAAATTTTGGAAATACAAGTGGACTGTTTTTGTTGGAGCTTAATTGAAAAGTTAAAGATGTTTTCATGTCAATGGTGAGTGGATTTAACTTTTATATCACTTGTTTATTTGCTTATACTCTAATTTAGAGGATGTAGTTGCTGTTGTGCTTGAATCTCAAAATAGTTGGCATTATTCAAACTGCAGTAAATAATTTGAATAATGTGGGTTGACTTTGCATAATACAGTGATGCATTTCCTGAATTTCTTTCTAATTTGTCATCAGTATTTTGGCTGAAAATGCTTATTTATCCCAGTTTTATTGTTTCATAAGTTGACCATTTATTCATTTAAAAATAATAAGTATTATATACTTTAATGATTTGATATTTTGTCTCCTTAAATGATATCAGTTGTGTAAAAAATTGTAAGAAAATGAAGTATAATAAATAAATGAGTTCCCTTAGTAACTGTGGTACAAATAATTAAATAAAATAGAAGTCTGGTCACATTAAAGTGGGCAGGCTTTAATACTATTAATAAAGGAACAAAGTGGTATCTTATAAATACTTTCACACTTTGTCAGAAAAGGGATGCAATAGATGCAAGTTTACACACTGCAATACCATCTCAGACCACTGGGATACACACTTATACACACTGTCAGGAAAATGTCCCCACGGATGCAAATTCACACACTGCAATACCACCCATGGTCACCAGGGCATACACAAAGTTGTGAAAATTGAATCTGTGGGGACCTTTTTTTTTTTGTTGAAAAAAACTTAACCAGGCATATCAGCAGCATGTTTTCTATTGAATACAATGGTTGTGCCCGTGGGGACCAGGGCTCGGTCCCCACGGGGAAAATTGGTCCCCATGGCGTGACTGATATCTCAGGTCATGGACCCCAGGGGGATAGAAAAACAAACGCACAC